ATACAAAGAAGTAGCTTCCAATCTTCTTTACAGCAGTTATAAACACAATTATAAATTTGCCTCTTATTTTATGATTATAACATAATCTCCCCTTTCTATAACCTCTCCTGTCTAAGTATCAAAACCATAAGTCCTAAGTTTGTTTTTTATGTATTCTGTAAAATGTGTAAGGTTTTACACACTTAGGCAAGAAAAACTAAATGTACAGGGACAGAGTAGGTGTAGGTGAACTTGGCTCAACTGCAGTAACTAAAAGAGGGATCTTGGAGTCCTATTGGACAATCACTTAAATATGACCCAGCAGTGTGTTGCAGCTGCCAATGCAATCCCAGGCTGCAGTAACAGAGGGATAGAATCAAGATCACAAGAAGTGATACTACCACTTTATAATGCCTGGTAAGACCAGACTTGGGATACTGCATCCAATTTTGGTCATCACAATATTTAAAAAAGATGACGACACTCTGGAAAGAGTGTAGAGAAGAGGAACAAAGATAATTGTAGGGGCTGAAGGCTAATACATATGAAGAACAGTTGCAGGAATTGGGTATATCTAGTGTAGTAAAGAGAAAAACTAGGAATGACATAATAGCAATGTTCCAACATTTGAGAGGCTGCCGCAAAGAAGAGAGGGCCAATCTATTTTCTAAAGCACCAAAAAGCAAGACAAAAAGCAATGGATGGAAACTGAAACAAAGAGAGAAGCAACCTAAGAACTAAGGAGAAATTTCCTGACAGTAAGAACAATCAACCAGTGGAACTTCTGCCTTCAGAAGTTCTGGATGCTCCAACCCTGGAGACTTTTAAGAAGAGACTGGACAACCATTTGTCTAAAATGGTATAGGGCTGTGATGGCAAATCTATGGCACGCGTGCCACACGTGGCATACTGAGCCATATCTGCCAGCACACAAGCCATCAGCTTCAATGCCAGCCAGCTGACTTTTGGCCTTCTGGAGGGCCGGGGGGAGCCCATTTCCAAATTTCCAATAAGTCCATTGGGACTGTTTTTTGCCCTCCCCAGGCTCTGGAGGCTTTACTGGAACCTGAGGAGGGTGAAAATGGCCTCCTCTGCCCCCCTAGAGGAAATACCAAGCTCAGCTTGGAAGCAACTAGTGCAGTGTGCAGGGGGGGGAGCATGGGGGAGTGTTGTGTGCACATGCATATTTGGGGGGGTGCACATGCACATGTGGGGGGCACTTTGCATTATGGGTGCCAGCACACATGGGTACTATTGCATGCTCACGCTCGCATTTTTGCCACCCAACAACAAAAAGGTTAGCCATCGCTGGTATAGCCATCGCTTGAGCAGGGGGTTGGACTAGAAGTCCTGCAAGGTCCTTTTCAACTGTTATTCCGCATATAACAAGTTCCATCATCTTTAACAACCATTCCTCCATTGTGGGTAGTGCTGAATCTTTCCATCGTTCATACAATAATCTTACTGTAGTTACAGTGTATTAGAATAAAGTTGCATGGTTCAACTGTTTATCCATCAATTCCAAAAGAAAATCATGTGGTCTAAATTGTATATTAAAATAGGCAGTAACAGAATTTTCTAGCTCTTTTTACATATCCACCAAACATGATGAAATGTCCTTTCTTGTTGTTCACGTTTCTAACATAAATTTGAAGAAAGCCCAATTAAAGCTGCCAAAGGTCATCTTTCCATCTAAGACAATCATTGTGACTTGTTTTTCATTATGTTGCTCCAAAAATATTCCAAAATGTCCAGTACATTTCTAATATTGTCCTTTAACTATCTTTTAGATAAAATCCCATATTGCTCCTCATGAATTCTTGCAAAATTATTTCAGTCTATCAGCTTGAATCATTGTGAACAATTTATAGTTGTATTCAATAATGGTGGTGGCTTACAGTTTCCTTTTAAAGTCAAATCTTGTCCACATTTAGGTATCAGTGCTATGTTGGTTGCTTTCCAACCCTTACACATCTTTCCTCCCTGAAAGGTAGAAATCATTGTGTTTTGTAAAGGTTGCAAAAGTTCATTCTCAAAACATTTATAATAAAAACATGGAAATTCAACTGCTCCAGGTACCTTTCCTGGTTTAATCTTTTTTATGGCTTCAGAAACTTCCTTATTGTTATAAATCTGTTTATAATCTGTCTCTGTTTCTCTGTAATCTTCAATAAATTTTGTTTTTTGCCATTACTGATTTTGATACGCAGGAAGGAAATACAATAACCTGGCCCCCACAATGATTTATTGTTTCATGTTGTAGATATTACATAGGAACAATACCTCAAACCACAATATTTAGCCTTTAGAAAACTATTCTTTTGTAGCTAATATATCCATTACGATTGAAAATTCTAAAGTAGCTATGCTGTGCCTCAGTTTTAATAGGATACTGCAATCTGCAGTCTGTAACATTTTTACTAATTGGCGACACATCTTTCAATCATCCTTACTAAGAGTGTTAAATGATTGCATTGGTTTACAGCTTTGATAAATGAAAACATTTTTGTTGTACTGTTCTGATACTGAAAATTGCACATAAATACATTCCTACTCATACGAGCTAGAACACCAGAATAACTATCCTATTTAATACAGCAAAGTACAAACTACCTCAACAGAATTTCATCTGAAGAGAAAAAAACCCCTCCCTTTTCATGCTTTACAGAAACTGTTCACTCCTTTTCTTCAGTGCCTGACCACACACTGCTCTTTTGTCAGACTGCAAAGGTTGAAACTCCCATTCAGCCCAACAAGCTCCCCCTCAGTTCTGTTATGTGGAAGAGAATATGGGGCTCTCTGCATTGATCTTAAGTAGACTATCTTGCCTAGGATTCTTCTCAAAGCGTTACCTATCAATCCCTGAGCCAGCAGAAAACTCTACCAGTGAGATATGAGTTCCTCTCACTAGCAATTCCTATACCCAAAACAACACTGAAAAACAGTGCTCTACTTATTCACAGTGTAGGAATTTGCGAAGGATAGGTACTGGTTGATTCTCCCAGTTTTATTCCCTCC